CAGACACCCCCTGCCACAGACAGGCACCCCCTGCCACAGACACCCCCTGCCACAGACACCCCCTGCCACACACCCCAGCGCAGCCCCGTGTGCTGGGGCCAGCTGCCCACCCGTGCCTGCCCCCTGTTTAGGACACGCTCTGGGACTGAAGCTGCAGCACAGACAGGCCCTGCATGAGGCGTTTCCCTCCTTTGGCCCTGCCCACCCCTGTGCCGTGCTCGGCCAGGGGGTGGCACATGGAGATCCAGCTTCTCACAGGGATCAGCGGCCCTGGGCTGCTACTGCATCATGATCTCACTGCTCCTGTTACAGGCAGATGATGAGCACTACATCCCGCGGGCCGTGCTGCTGGACCTGGAGCCCCGAGTTATCCACTCCATCCTGAACTCCCCTTATGCCAACCTGTACAACCCAGAAAACATCTACCTGTCGGAGCATGGAGGGGGTGCTGGGAACAACTGGGCCAGTGGCTTCTCACAGGTACCAGCTCCAACACTCTGGGTGCCAACACAGCTCAGCCCGTGGGGCTTTGTCGTGGCTGCTTCACATCAGGCTCCATAGGTGGTTTCTGAAGAACACCTCATCATTCAGCAGGGACTTGTGCCTGGTGCCCTGTGGCGCAGGGTCACATTGCCAGTCTGACTTGGCTTCTCACCAGGCTTGAGCAGCTTTTCCCCATTTTCTATGGGAAAGGAACAAATCTTGGTCTGGTCTCTCTTGCAGGGGGAAAAAATCCATGAAGATATTTTTGACATAATAGACAGAGAGGCTGATGGGAGCGACAGTTTGGAAGTAAGTAAACAGGGGATTTGGATCCTGCTTGGTGTTTTTTGAGCCAGACTTCTCTTCTGCAAGGTTGAACTGAGCCCTCTGGTGTGCATAGACTTCTTCAACTTCATGGTGCTGAGCAGAGAACATGTAGAGAGGTGAACAAGGGAAAGGTCTTTCCCATCACTACTGCATCTGCCAGGCTTCCCCAGAAATCTTCCTGTATGCTCAGGGGAGAGTCTTCTGCCCCAAATGCTGCAAGATACAGTTGGCAGGAAGAGTTCCAGGCATTATGGTGTTTTTTCCTTTCCCTGCCGTGGCTCTTCCCCAGCAGCTGGAGCAGAACATACAGCACTCATCCTCCCAGGAAGGCCCCATGGGTTGGGAGGGCTCTGCTGCCTCTCTGCCTGCAGGAAGCTTCTCACACCCCGAGTTCCTGAGTGGTTTGCAGTCCATGGGGGTGCAGGCAGCTGCAGCTTCATTTTCTCCCTGCTCAAGGGGTACTGGGGGCTCTGGCTGCTCTGCTGCTGGTGCAGCCTCAGCACTGACCCCAGGAACCTGCTCCCTGGTGTTTGTGTCAGGCTGTCATGTGGCAACAGGGAAGGGAAAATGTCATGAAATCGGTTGGCAGCAGATCCAAGGGCCCATTGTGGGACCTGCAGCAGGTGGGAACTGCCCTGAAGTCAGGAAGGGGGTTTGGCCTCGGGCACTCTGGAGGAAGGGGAAGGACATGGAGGACCTGAAGAAACTGCTGAGAACAGGGGCCTCCATTTTGTGTGACTGGGCCCTAGAGGTGACGTTGGAGCTATTCTGGTCTGTTCTGGGGTGAGAGGAGTCCAGGAGGCTCCTGAGTTGCACACTGTGGTGTGTGCAGAGATGCAAATTCCTCCCACACATGTCCTGACGAGCATGTGGCTGTCACCATGGTCTGCAGGGGCCAAGGCTAATCTCTGTCCCATTGGTGTTGGCTCCAGGCTCTTACTTGTCCCAGGGGCAGTTCTCACCTTGGCTGGCAAGTCCCTGCGAAGCTGGTGGCCTTGGCAGAGCTCTGCCTGCACCAGGGGCTGAGCGGGGCCTTCATCTGGTGTTCTGCTTCCTCCCAGGGCTTTGTGCTTTGCCACTCCATTGCCGGTGGAACTGGCTCCGGGCTGGGCTCGTACCTCCTGGAGAGACTGAATGACAGGTGAGCACTGAGCCCTTCCTTCCAGTCCCTGAGCAGAGCCTGGCCCAGCCGTGCCCTGCCAGCGCTGACTCAGAGCCGCCGCCCCCACCCAAACACTCTTGTGCAATCCTGGCTCCCTGCCCGGGAGAGGGATGGCTCCTCATGCCCTGGGGACTTCAGAGGCTCCAAAACTGGACTGTGCTGTCCAAGCTGCTTTCCATCGGCCACTCTTATCAGGCAGCTGCCTTCTGGCACCCTGGCAGTGCAGGGAGGGCTCTAGCTGTGGGCTCTGAGCTGCTGCTCCTGCCTTTTTCAGCCTACAGCCTCTCAAAAAAGCTTGTAGGCAGCTGCTTGATCAGCCTGAGGATGGCTCAGCCTCGCCTGCAGGTCTGTCTGCAGCCTTTGCTGCTGGGGTAGGCTCTGCTGGGACAAACTCTCCCTCTCTGGAAGCGACTCTGGCACAAAGCCCTGGTGACTCATTGCTGTCCTGAGCCCTGGAGATTGAAAAGGGAGCTGTGGGAGGAGAGAGTGCTGCCTTGGTGCCGTTAACCCTTGGCTGGATTTTCTCACCAGGTATCCCAAGAAGCTGGTGGAGACCTACTCGGTGTTCCCAAACCAGGATGAGATGAGTGATGTGGTAGTGCAGCCATACAACTCCCTGCTGACGCTGAAGAGGCTGACACAAAACGCTGACTGCGTGGTAAGAGTCCCTGCATGGCAGCCCTGTCCCTGTCCCCAGCCCTTGTGGGGAGCACCACAGAGTGTCCAATCTGCCTGTGCAGCCCCAGCCACAGCAAGGAGTCCACCCCTGTCCAAGCAGCTGTGGCACTAGGGACAAGGGCTCTGTGCTAAGCCTTGCTGAGCTGTCTGGCTTCACTCAGGATGCAGCGGGTCCGGCCCGTGGCCCTGGGGATGTGCTGTGCTTCCCACAGCCCTCTGCTCCGTTCTGGCACCGCTCCCAGCACCCACAGCCCCCATCCACGTGGCATCCTCAGCCTTCACCAGATCCCAGCCAGGACACTTCTTGTTCTCCCAGCATGTCCCTGCATGTGGCAGGGCACGAGCTGCTGGGGCTGGAGGGGGATTCAAGGCACTGGCCCAGAAGCAGCTCCCTGGGGAGCACTGGAGAGTACAGCCAGGACGGGTGGGAAGAGCTTCCATTGACAGTGTCGGTTACGCTCCAGGGATGACTCAGCTGGTGGTTTCCAGTGTCTGCCACCTGCGGAGGGCTCTGCCAGGCCCTGGTGCTCAGGGACTGTGCTGCTCATGGACACGTGGCTGGAGCTGCCCATCTGGCTGCCTCCAAGGCTCTTCACTGAGCTGGTCTGCTCTTGCAGGTGGTTCTGGACAACACGGCCTTGAATCGCATCGCAACAGACCGGCTGCACATTCAGAACCCATCGTTCTCTCAGATCAACCAGCTGGTGAGAAGGGCTCCTCTCTGGAGAAGCCAACACGGGGCTTCCCTGCTGTATGATTTGGTCTGCACCTGCTCCATGGGCTGGGGTTGGTGGTGGGCAGCCTGGAGCTGGGAGAAAGGTGCTCTGCCCTGCCTGGGGCTGCAGCCTCCCTGGCACGGCTGCCTGCAGCAGTGCCTGACCAAGCCCTGCAGTGCTAGGGCCACTGACCCTGTCCCTTTCTCCAGGTCTCCACCATCATGTCTGCCAGCACCACCACGCTCAGGTACCCTGGGTACATGAACAACGACCTCATCGGGCTGATCGCCTCGCTCATCCCCACCCCCCGGCTCCACTTCCTGATGACAGGGTACACACCACTCACCACCGACCAGTCGGTAAGGCAGCCCGGGGCTCCCCTCCCTGCACCAGCTGCCGTGCTCACCATGTCACATCCACCGGTCCCGCCAGCTCCTGTGAGCTGTCACTGCCTGTTCCAAATCCCTGGCACATGACTGTGTGTGGCATGAATCAGGTGTGAGGGAGCCGTGCCTGTGCTGCACCTCCCACTGCCAGCACCGGGATGGCTGCTACAGCTGTGGGTGGGCTGGCAGCACCTGATCTGACCAAAACCACCCTGGGAAACACCCAGAGTGGGCCCAGCAGCACAACCCTGCCAGTTCTGTTGTCCCATGGGCCACCAGCCCCTGCTGTTCTGGTCAGAATGTCTATCATTATCACACCAAGACTGACCGTGGGCTTCAAGCATCAGCCCCTTCCACTGAGTGAGGGGCTCACTCAGTCTGTGTCTTGGGAAGGGACTGTCACTGTCATCCTCCACTGCATCCAGCACCTGGTTTAGCTAGTCCCCAGCCAGTGTCCCCTCAGCCCCCCTGATGGGACTGGAGCTGTTCTGTGTTGAGGGGCACTCACCTGCCTGGCAGGATCCTAATGGCTGCTGTTCTCCTCTCGTGTGCATTTCCTCAGGATGTTGCTCAGAGACGCAAATCTGAAAAACTGATGGCTCTGAAAAGGGTACCGAGTGTGTGGTCTGTCCTCCTGGGGAGGAGTGTGTGGGGGCTCAGCCAGCGGCTGATGGTGCCAGGAGCTGATGGCCGCACTGCTGAGCTGTCCTTGCCACAGGCAGGATCACCTCTGCCTGTGGCTCCATGGCTGGCAGCAGTGGG